TTTTCCTTTTTTTTCTTTTTTCCTTTTTTTTCTTTTTTCCTTTTTTTCTCCTTTTTTTCTCCTTTTTTTTCTTGCTGATACTGTTGCATAAGCAAACACTTAGGCTGTTTTTTATTTAGCTGCTGGTATTGTAAGAAATGTACATTCATTTGTAAAGTGATAGCAGATAAGTCTGGGGCACGGAGATGCTTTAGCTAGATTTATGTATACTTTTTCCTGTAGGTTTTTTAGTGTTATTTAATAATTCTCATTCCCAAACTTCAGTCCAGATTGGTTATTTTGAACGGCTGCAGCAATAGCTAAGCCGTGCAACTTATATTTCTTTATATTTTAAAAAAAAATTGCCATGTCTACTTTTGGTGTTAAAATCGTAAGTCAGAGAGTGTATTTTCTTTTGGAAAGTGCAAAAGAGAAAAGATTTTCCCTTTAAAAATCAGGATGTACTTTTAATATGGGCTTAACCTAAAACATAGTTTTAAAAGAGTTAGCAAGAAATATAATGTAAAATCTATATTCCTGTAATGTTTTATGCAGGGTTTCAGAGATGAAACACCTTTTAAAGAAGAACTTGTTGACGAACCAAGTTTGGACTTGAGAAGGTCATTTCAGCTTTCTCAAAATGACAATGAGTATGAGAAGGAGTCCTGGGAGATGCATGAATTTCTGAAACCCAGAACAGAAGAAACGGATGAAGAACGGGAAATGTTGGTGGATGATGAGTATGAAGAAGATTCAGACTTCGTGAAATATAATGCATCATGTGGACAGAAGACGACTTCAGAGAGACACCTCGATTCAGAACAATGGGCAAAGCAACTTGAGACTACTGAAATGCAAGACTTAAGATCCAGTGTTAACTTCAGTCCAAAACAGTCCCTGGAATACTCATTCAATAAAGATCAAATGGTAAGAAGTGCTGTGTTGGTCTCAGTGCTGTACCCTGACCATGGGACCCATACCTCAAGGCAAATTCCAGATCTAAATTCTGTAAGGAGTCTTTCTAAGGAGGCATCCTGTACTTGCGTCTGCTTTCCAATCTCTAACTTGTGGACTCAGTTCTTTTTTGTAAGCTGTACTACTATGGGACATGTCAGTAATAGCAGAATGTCAGTTTGTGGTTTTAATAGTCCAAGGGCTTCAGCAGCGATGTCAGTGAAAGGAGGTCCCTCTTTTCCTCGTTATTTTAAATCCAAATCAGTTCCTTGAGCCAGGTCGATAGTGCAGTTGAACAAAAAATGATATGGCAGAAGCAATTGTTACAAGCATGCTGGTGGATGAAGGAATAGGAGACAGAACTTCAAGTAAATTGATAATCTTACTTATATATCCTCCTCAAGTATTCTGAGAATTACTTTTTTTCCTTCTGAGTCTTTGTTGTTCACTTGCTAAACAAAAAAGTGATGTTATCAGCCTTCCATGCACCAGCTTCCGAGATGTATGCTTTTGTATGAAAAAAAATGAAGTGGAGAAGGATTTAATATCACAGCCACACAGCGTTTCAAGTTTTGTTTGACTTGTCCCCTTATGCACCATGTACCTAAGCAGGCTAAAATGCAGCTTCTAGGGACGGTTTTGTGCCAGAGTGCACAATATTAAATTTATACATTTGTCACTTAAAAACAAATGAGCAAGAGTAAAGAATTTCTTGTCTGGATTACAGGCAAGGAGAAAGATACAGTTGCTTTATATTGCAATTGCACATAACATTTTTCATGCCTCTTTTTAATACAGTGCACAAATGATCAGTTAGTATTTCATTGTTATCTGAATAAATATGAATGTAGTTGAGCAAATGTGAATGTTTGCTGTGAAAATCAAAGTTCATGTCAAATACTTCTGTATAAGTTGATGCCATTGCTTTCTAACTTTAATTACTTTTTTTCTCCTCTGTGAAGTGTGAAGAAAATGCTAGTATCAGTTCACTATCTTCTGGAACCACAGCACAGCGTGGCTACCATAAAGACACATTTGATACTGAAACTACCCAGTCAGGAGCAAAAGTCGAGATGGATTTAGGTTTGTAAGAAGTTTCTTCTTTATCTTATAATTTCATATTTACAAATTTAAATTTTATGCCGAAACACAAATTCTTTCAAATGATAAAATATTCAAATGAAGACTTCTACAGGCTTAAGACAATCTGGCTTTAAATATGTTTCAGCTTCATAATCTTGCTTCTTCCTCCAAATCTTTACCTACAGTTGTCCCAAGTGGTATGGAAAGTGGCTACAGCTTTGTCCTGCCTGTGGAAAATCACTTTCTCCTATGTGGCTATGTCCACAGTAGGACTCCATGCACAAGAACAATAGCTCATGCCTGTGATTTCTGTCAGGAATTTCTCTCAATCACTTTTGGTCGCTGCTTTTATAGATTTTTGCACTTTAAAAAAAAAAAAAAAAAAGACAGGCTGCGGAGGTGACTTTCCCACAACCAAAATTTGCAAGTGGTAGATAATTGCTCCATATCTTGGTTTTGTAATTTGCACTCAGGAGCCAAGTTTCTCCTTGTCAGATGGCCAGAGATGGATGGTTAGAACTTGGTAGATCATCAGGGAAGTAAATGTATCAACGTGCTTGAGATAGCACTCGCTGGTTAGAAGAAAGGAGGCTGGGTTGTTTCCTTTCTTTGTCACCTTCGTCTTGTACAGCAGACAGTGTGTCAGCTACAGTGACAAACTGATGACTCTTGCAAGGAGCTCTGGTGGTTTAATTGATGTTGATACTTATGTCACCAAAATTATGTCAGTTTTCTCCAGCATGATGGGGTTCTGTGCTGGAGCAGGGCTTTGCACCGCTCTCCCTACACAAGGGATGGATTCACTATTTCTAATCACATGGTTTGGTGAGGAGCATCTAAGTGGTACCTAAGCGTGTCTCGGTTCCACAAAGATTCCGTTTTTCCTGTTTTTACTTGGGTGCATGTGCATAAGAAGCAAGGTGCTATAAGAAAGTGTTTAGTGTGGTCTAAACTTCCTTCAAAAATAAATGTTCTGTGTCTCTAAGCCTCTTGATCATCATACAACATCCCCGTTTGGAACATGGTGAGCTAAGGGCTTTATTTCCAAGGGTGGTAACTGGTAGGTGCAGGGACAGAGGAAGCAAAAGTTCACATCCACACCTTTTCTTCTTCAGGTACAAAGCTTCGAATTGACTCTAAAGGACCTGGGCTTGCTGTTGATCTGGAAGCTATTGAAAAGGAAGGACTAAAAGGGGAGAATTCTGTTTTTTCCAAGAACGTGGAATCTGGGAGAGTAACCACCTTAGTTCAGCCTAGAACGGCGTTGTACAGGTATGGAGAAAGACTTCGGGTTTTGGAAGATTTTCAGTTAATGATCTTAACTGTCTTCTTGCTTTACTTAGCTGACTAATCATTAAACGCCGTGTGAAACAGTAAGACGTACGTAGATGGCCAGTTCTATGACTTTTGCCCGAGGAACTGATTTTTGCCTTGCAAAAATGCCTTGCTTTACTGAATCTTTACTTCCCACATTTCATAGATGGCCAGTTCTATGACTTTTGCCTGAGGAACTGATTTTTGCCTTGCAAAAATGCTTTGCTTTACTGAATCTTTACTTCCCACATTTCCTCTGCTGAGTACTGGGACAGAAAAGTTCAAATGGCTGTTTCCTCCTTTGCTTACTCCATGCCGAGGGGAGTATGGATGTGGCCTGGAGGAGACGGACGTAGCCTTTACCAGCAGCATTGG